ACTGGGACTGAAGTAGGAACTCTAGAATTGTGGCAAGGAGTATATTTAGTTTCAGCCCCTCCCCAACCCCCAGGCTTCATTTATTAGAACAACATAACCATTTGCCTGAGTATCCCCCTTAGTGGATACATTCCATTCCTGCTTTCCACACTTCCTCCTAAGACTTGCTTTTGAGACAACCTTCAGCATCATGATCTGGCTACGGTTTGCACATGTCCCTCTTACCAGAAGTGATTGGGGTTCTCCAGATGTGACCTGACCAGGGCAACATGAGTGAAGTCATTCTTTCTCTTAATCTGCCCTATCTACTTCTGGAGGTTGTGTCCCATTTTTGTGCAACCACGTCATGCCCTCGACTCTCATTAAACTTGAGGTCAGCTAACACAGAGACACTTAAGCTTGCTCAAGGAGATAGGGAGGAGGGAGAGAGGCCAATAGGAATGTTTCCTTACTGCCTCTTTTTTTCTCCTCCATTCCAAGGCCCCCTTAGAAATTAGGTCTCTATCCACTAACTGTGTCAACAGCTGATTGGGTAATGATGCTGGGAATAGAATGGTCGGTCAAAGGTTCTACAGTTCCCGGAGAAGTGGCATCAGAACTCAGCCCCTGACTCCTCCACAAGCCATTCCTGTCTCAGTCTCGCCTGCTAATACAACCATAAATTAATGTGCGGTGGCTCCTTCACCTCTGGCTTCCTATCCCAGCAGGTCTGGGTCCTGTCTCCAATGAGGAAGATTTCATTTCCGGTATTAGAGAAAAGTGGTCACTCTGACCTACGATTTCCTCTCCAGGGAAAGCTTGGACCATGCCTGGCCTTTGATTTACGCATCTCCATTGCCTACAGATTTATTACCCAGCACTCTCGCCTTTGGTCCCTCACTCCCTCCTCCTCCTCTCTGGCCTTTAAGCACCCTCAACCCTTCTCTTCATGGTGTCACCTTCTGACTTCTCCTGTCTCTGTTGGCTAAATGCAAGCCAAGGTCTGAGGCAGTGTGTGCGCTGGAAAATGAACTGGGATAGTTAAGTGAACTCACACTGGTTTAGTGCCTATTGTACAAACTTCTGTGCTCAAGGTCTAGGGCAATCATTTCATTTCAGCCTTACAACAGCCCTACAAAATAAGCATCTCTAGTCCCATTTTACAAATGGGCAAATAGACTTACAGAGAAGTGACTTCCGTGATGGGCTCTGAAGCCTGTGTCCTTTCTACGGCACTATGCTGCTTTGAATCTTGGCTAACATTTACTGAGAGTAAGCAAATTACTCAAGTTATCCCTCCCCAAAACACTGCTATTACTTCCATTTTACTGATGCCGTAACTAAGCAGCATCAAAAAACTTGCTGATGATCCACATAGCTGTTAAGTTACAGAGCTAGGATTTGAATCTGTGACTCTAGAGCCAGGTATTTCAATTCAGCTCTGTACAATCAGGAGCTCTGGTTCTTGCTCTGCCCTTGTTACTAACTTAGGGTGTTCCCTTAGACTATCAGATTCCCCATCCACTCAAAAGGAGACTTGGTTCAGCTGAGTTCCAAGATTCTCCTTGAGGAAATGGCTGGGCCTTTGGAGATAGAGCATTTGGAAATCTTGAAGGAATTTCCCTTTCCCACCTCATTTTATATTCGTAGCTTGTTTTTGTGGCTGTCTGCATCAGACAGTCACTCTCCATTGCCCCTAAAATATAATACTTCACCATGACTTTGAAGAGCCTTGATGGTCTGATGTCTGCCAAACTGACTAGTCTCTCACCTATTCTTTGTGCTAACCATTTCAAAGAACTGGGTGTTCAGCTTTCTCTCATCTAACTTTAGATGGGCTCTTTCCTCTGCCTCCCCATCTACCTGAAAAACCTGTCTAGTCATTGAAGTCTTGGTGCAGATGTTACATCCCCTGGGAAGATTTCTGAGCCCCCAAATTAATCATTAGGTGTCCACTTTATATATTCTCAGAGCACACAGCATGTCTCTAACCCAGCACTCTGACCCCAAATTAGAGGTTGTTAGTATTTCTGTCTGTCTCCTGCCATTGACTTACACAGATGCTCTAGGCTTACACCAGGACAAAAGGCTGATGATGGGGGGTGGTAGTGTTGGTAGTGATACTTTCTAACCTGTATCAGGGACTTAAGATGTGCCAAACACGTTTCTAAGAGTTTTGCATGTATTAATTTAATGTAATCCTCACTATAACTTTATGAGGTTAGTGAATGTTCCTCCCTTTTTATAAATGAGGAAGCAGAAGGAGTACGTAGTTCTTTTAAAAACACAGAGAGAAAAAGTAAAACAGCACCCTTGAGTACGATGATAGGAAACACTTAACATGTAGATGTGTGCCCTACCTGGTTTCTTGCTGTCAGTCTTGCCCTCCCCCCAATTTGATTCTCCTCAAGGGAGCCGGGAAGGTTTTAAATAGTCCAGCTCTGAATCTGTTACTTTGCTGCTTGAAACCCTTTTGATTACTCTGCTATTTACCCTCCAGACCACAGTCATAGATAACATTTATTGAAGGCTTGTTACAGATTCATCAGTGCTGTTTTGTGTGTGTGTGTGTTTGTTTTGTTTTGTTTTTTTTTAAACAAGACTTTGTGGTAGATACAGGTATTATTCCCATTTCATGGATAAGGAAACTGGATCACACATGGTTAAATAATTCCCTCAATATCACAGAGCTGGTAAGTGGCTAAGCCAGGATTTGAACCTGCGCAGTCAGGCTCTAGAGCCTGGATGGTGTACCATTATTCTGTACAACCAATACCCCAGTTCCTAGGTTCCAATGGCCTGGCCCCTGCCACTTCTCCCGTTTCCCACTGTGTCCCTACTTACACATGGTATTCCCGCCATAAATCCTCAGAACTTCTATATAATCCCTTATCTTTATGCCTTTACCTCTGCCTCCTGTTATGCCTTTGTCTTCTTTAACCCCTACTCATTTTTGAGGCTCAACACAAGTTGCCCTTCTACTAGGAAGCCTTCTTGGATATTCTCATTCCTACCTAGGCATCTTCCTCTACTTCCTTCCCCCTATCCCATAGCCCACGCCTCCTCTTATCATTACCCTTGCTACCTGTGTTGTAATTTTCCATCTGTCTCACACCAAAGCGGGAGCCCCACCATAAAATAAGTGCTCAGTAAATGAGCAGTCAATGACTTTATCTCCTGTAACTTCACAACAGCCCCATTTTTCAAGTGAAGAAACGGGTTTAGAGATGTTAAGTGAATTTCCCAAGGACACAGAGCTATTAAGGAACAGAGCAAGGGTTCAAACCAGGAGGCAAAAGAAATGAACTCCTCAAGCTCCTCGTTGAGAGATGCCTGCCAGTGGGGAGAGAGGACTGTGGGCAGAGTGGCAACTTGAGTGTGATTATGAAGCTATGAATTCTTGGCACCTCAGGAAATATTCCACCCAAGTGGTGAACTATACAAAGAGGACATTTTGAAAGGTACCTCATAAATCGTGCCCACAAAACATACACACACAAGCCCGGCCCCTTTCCAGCCACCATGAAGGTGCCTAACACAGTCTCCCATTTGTGGGGTCTGTTGTCGTAAAACACCCTCCCTCCTGGGGTCTCAGAGGGGCATGGAGAGGACAGCAGGAGAGAGCTGCTCATTTAGCCCTTGGGTATCTTGAAGATGCTGGAATGCAGAGAAAGTTGGATTCCACATGGTGACAGGCACCTTGACAGTGATGCTAATGTATGGTGTGACCCAGGAAAAGGATATCCCTTTCCCTCTCTGAGCCTCAGTTTTCACATCTTTAATAAGAGTAGGTCAGACTAGGTCAGTGGTCCCAGTTGGGGTGATGACCCCCCCCCCCAAGAAGACAATTCCCAATGTCTGGAGACAAGTTCATTGCTATGACTGGGGCAAAGGAGTGCTATTGGTATTTAATAGGCAGAGGCCCAGGGATGCTGCTAAACTTCCTACAAGACAGCCCCCACAACAGAGAACAGAGAATGTCCTTAGTGCCATCATCAAGAAACTGAAGGATCTCAGAAATCTTGCTAGCTTTAATTTTCTGTGCAGCCATCAGACCTCCTCAGGGATCCTCTCTCTGTTACTGGTTCAAGGGCTCTAGATAAGTTACTAATGATGATCACCACAGGACAGGCTGATTCTTGCTTAGACTAGTGTTCAGTTTGGCCTTGATCCCAAGACATCATCATAACAATTCTTTGTAATCATAGATATCATTTATTGGGAGCTAACTCTGCACCAGGCTTTGGGCATTTCTCATGGTAGATCTTAACCACCACTCATGATGCTAAGACCGTCATCACTATTTTAAAGATGAGAAAAATGAGATACAGAGAAATCTGATTTGGGGACTTAGATATTAAGGCTTTGATGAAAGATTTCCAAATTTCCTGACCGTGAGAAAAGAAAAAAATACGAGAGAACTAGAGAAACACAAAAGCAGAAGTTAGAGAGGGACTTTGTGGGTATCCAGGCCTAGATCCAAATGCCCAGCCCCACTGGTCAACTTGATGTTTGACCTTGGTCATGCAATGTCATTTCTCTGAGCTGTGGGCTCCACATCCATTTGGTGTGAGTGGGAAGAACAATACGTTCAGGGCTGTTGTGAAGATTACATAAAATCTTAAAATGTAGGTAAAGCATTTACTCTGCATCTAGTATGGCAGGTGTCAGTAAATTTTAGTTGTGATTGCTGTTGCTGTGTATCATTATTATAATAATTTCTTCTTGGAGTCCCAAGGCTGGTGACCTTATAATTCCTGGGACTCTCATATCTTAGAAATGAAAATTCTGAATCAAAGTTTATATGTCACTTTCAGTTTTTACACAATGCACAATTGAAGAGGACAAATTTGGAGGTGATTTTTGAGTAAGTGTTTGAAATACCACACTCGGGCCAGGAATGGATAGGAGAGTGTTGGGACAGGAAGTCCTCATTTCTCTGTTGACCTTTATTCACCACTCAAAGGCTTAAACCTTGATCTGGGCTTCCTTCTTCATCACTGTCTCATCCTCTCTTTCAGGAAGGCCCACCTGATCCTGCGGCGACTAGAGAGGGTGAGCAGCCACTGCTCCAGCCTCCTGCGGAGCGCTTACATTCAGAGCCGCGTGGACACCGTGCCCTACCTTTTCTGCCGCAGCGAGGAAGTCCGGCCTGCGGGTATGGTGTGGTACAGCATCCTCAAGGACACCAAAATCACATGCGAGGAGAAGATGGTGTCCATGGCCCGAAACACGTATGGGGAGTCCAAGGGCCGGTGAGGGAGGGTACTGCCCTCCGTGAGCACAGAGACTCTCCATGGGAGGGGGAGCAGTACTCTCTTGGATCCTGGGGCCTGGGGGGGCTGGGGGACAGCTGAGGATGGGCCTGGCAGATGAGGCTTGCCAGCAAGGCCAAAGCAAACTCTTTCTCTTGTGGATAGCCGACGAGAACTTTGTAACCACTGGAATTATCCGTTTTTCTCTATCTTTTATTTTTTCTAAGATCTTATTTGACTCTATCAAAGTCTCTCCTTTTTAAACTTTTTCTTATGGATGGCAGTCAGTCCCGAGGCAGGAGCTTTCAGGTGGAGACCAAGCAGCCTTTGCTCTTCTTCCTTCCTCCTGCCACACTCAGCTTCCTTCCTGCAACGGACACTGGAGGAGACCTCTGGAGAGACAATCTGACCTCTTCAGCATCAGGAAGGAGGCCCCAAGGATTGGTGCAGTGAGGAAGCTTGGGTCTTGATGACTTTTTTTTTTTTTTCCAGACGTTATTGAGTTTGCAGGACCCCTGCCTCTTCTTGCTACCTGTGGGTCTGCCCAGAGTCCCTGCAGGACTTTCCATGCATTAAAAATTCTTATTGTCTCTCTTTCTGCTTGGGGAGTGTTTCTTGCCACTGGGGGGCCTCTGTTTATTCACTCAACAGGTATTTATTGATTACCTACTATATGCCAGGCACTGGACATGCAACTAAAGAGTGAGAGGCTCCCTGCTCTCACGGAGCATCCCGTCCAATGGAAATTATAGAGAAGCAGTTCAGTGCCTTCAGGCTGTAGCAGGGGAAGAATGGAGGTTATTTAGACTCATTGTTGGGCCATGAGATAAATGCTGAAATGCTTCCTTTAAAAGGGATGTCTGAAGCCCAAAGGATGGGGAGGCATAAACCAGACAGAGTACAGAATGATGAGATGGGTCACCATGAGCAAAAGTCCAGAAATAAGAGAAAACAGAACACATTCAAGGGCTGAAAGCCCTTTTATTTAAAGATTTTATTTATGTATTTATATATTTATTTTAGTGAATGGAGAGAGTGTATGAGCAGGGGGAGTGGCAGAGGGAGAGGGAATGTCAAGCAGACTCCGCATTGAGCATGGAACCCGACGTGGGGCTCGATCTAGCGACCCTGAGATCATGACTGATTGAAAATCAAGAGTCCAGTGCTTAACAGACTGACCCACCCAAGCATCCCATGGGCTGAAAGCACTTTCCATTTTTTGTTTTCTTTTTTCTTTTTAAGATTTATTTATTTACTCTAAAGAGAAAGCATGCATGAGCCAGGGGAGAAGCAAAGAGAGAGAGAGAATCCTCAAGCAGACTACACGCTGAGTGCAGAGCCTCACCCTGGCTCGATCCCAAGACCCTGAGATCATGACCTGAGCCGAAATCATGAGTCAGCCACCCAACCAACTCAACCACCTAGGCGCCCCTGAAAACACTTTCAATGATGACAGAGACCCAAGTAGCTGGAAGGAAGAAAGCTGGAGCTAGCTAGGGTATTGGAAGTTTGGGACAGAAAGTTTGATAGTATTTGAAGTAACTGAGAGCCACCACAGAATGTTAACAGAGTGAAATGCCAAGCTCGCTGTTTAAGAAAAATTGTTTTGGCCACAGGGGTAGAAGTGAGGCTGGAGAAGGCCCCAAAAAGGGTTACTGTTGTTATTTTCCAGGCAAGAAGTGATGGCAGCTTGGATCTTGAGGTCATGGAGAGACATTCTGCCACTGGAGTCTTCTTTTAAAGGCAAATGAACTGCTTCCAATGTGTTACCTGGGAGGGTAATGATTACAAAGAGGCATTATAGATTGTTTACATTCTGGTAATAACTCCCAGGAGCTAGCTTGGTTGAGGAAGTAAGGATGTAGGTCAGGTATTCCATAATGCAAGTATGACACCTGTTAGAAGAGAGTTGGGCACTATGGGAATTCAGAGAGAGGGAGAGAAACTGAGTGCCAGTAAAACATAAGCAGTTAAAAATATGCCTAGTTCTCAGTTTTGATGAGTGCCTCTGAGGTCAACAGTCCCCTTCCTGAAAATATACATGCTGAGTCCCCCTCAACCACCACCACCTCCACCCCCCGACTCTACTACACACAGAGAAACAAAGCCCAGGGACACTCTTCCAGTCAACTCAAGTGCCTAGAGATCTGCTCAACTTCCAGCAATCTAAACTCAAAGATACTCTCTCAAGAAGTTTTATTATAATTGGATTTACATTTCTGCAAATATGTAGGTGGAGTTTAGATGAATAAATGTCTCCTTATAGTGTTGCTGACTCTTCTAGTCATAATATTGTCAGAGAGGAACCAATTTCTTGAAAAGAAAGAAAAGTAATAGTGTTTTCATTGAACACTTGCCTATCTTTATTAGTTGCCTGTCTTAGTTTCGGTATAATAGAATACTGGTGTAAACAACACAGATTTGTTTCTCACAGTTCTGGCGCTGGAAAGTCCCAAGATCAGGGTGCCGACAGATTGAGTGTCTGGTGAGAACCTCCTGGTTCATAAACATCTGTCTTCTTGCTGTGTCTTCACATGGTAGAAGGGAGGAGGGAGCGCTCTGGGGTCTCTCCAATAAAGACACTAATCCCATTCAAGAGGCTCCCCTCTCATGACCTAATCACCTCCCAGAGGCACCACCTCCTAATACCATCACACTAGGGATTAGGTTTCAACATAGGAATTTCAGGGGGACACCAATATTCAGTATATATCATTGCCACATGTCAAGCCCTGTTCTAAATTCCTCTCCTGTATACCCTTTCCTGAACCCTAGGTCCCTGGCCTTCGCTGAGTCACCCCATTGTTGTAGCTTTCCATTGTCTTGACCCATCCTGAGGAAAAAATTAGCTCAACAGTTGCAGAAAATTAAACTCCCCAATGTGCTGGGGCTGTGGTCTGAGCCTGATTAAGTTGACTCTGTCTCTGTCGCCATTCACCGGCTATTTCCTTGGGTAAGTAAACTGCCATCAGAACCTTGGTTTTCTCATCAACAAAATCGGGTTAGTAATAGTCCCACCTTGTGGGGTTATTATGAGGCTTGAACAAGATAGGAACTATAATGTGTTCAGCACAATGTACAGTAGGGTCTTTTTTTTTTCTTTTATTAGATAATATGCATAATGCTTTGAATCTTGGAGAGATGACAGGGAAGTTTTATCTGGGAGAGACCTAGAGAATTCTGATTAAGAGAAGGCATTAATGATTAGCAGTCCTATGCGGTATGTGAACTGTAAATAGTATCAAAAGCTTAACTCAGGGAGAAGCGGCTGTGATGGCAGAACTTAATGCAATGCAAGAGCCCGAGGAGAGGTGTGTGGCTTTCTCTGAGGCTCTCATAGACAGCTGTGGCCTCTAGATAGCTGCTCAGTTGGCCAAAGTTGGCTGGCACCTGAGAATATATGCCATCAGCCTGTCCCCAACTCACTCAGCTGCTCATGCCCTCTCTGATTTCGACCCCTTTTCCTGGGACTGTGGAGCCTTGTTGTTCTTCCCAGCCACTGTTAAGTCTCTCCAGAGTGGGATTCCAGAAGCTTGGAGAGACAGGCGTGTGTGTTTGTGCTCTGCCACAGCAGGGAAGTTGGTCAGACCAATATTTGTTAAGATGTTTCATGGGAAAAAGAAACAGGAAAATTCTTGAAGTACAGATGAGGCTGCTGGGTTGAGCACCCTGGCCTCCCCGTGGCTGGATTGATCCACGTGACGCCATGGAAAATGCCCAGGGAGCTCCCGTCCCACTCTGCTGATAAAGATGGGATGTTTTGTGTGGTCTCCACCACTGAAGAAAGGTGTGTGTTAGAGGTGCCCAGGAAATCACCCCTGTATGACTTTGTCCTCCTGTATGGTTGAGGAGGTACTTCTCCAGGCAGGCTTCATGATAAAGCGGTGTCTGCCTAGACAAATGCTGACAACTACAATTTAGGTTGTCCTCATCACATCAGTGACTACACACTGATCTCATGTAACCATGTGCAAAAGAGCCATGTGCTAGTATTGCCATTTTCCAGTTAAAGAAAGTGAGGTTTAAACCAGTTGAATAACCTCCAAACCCTATAGTTAGTGATGATACTGAGATACATCTAAACTTGGACGGATGAAGTAATTCAAACCAGTGATAACTGTGCTTCCTGGGAACAAATAGATACAGTGCCCTTCTTCCCCATCCCAAGTCGAAAGCTACGTCCTTCTACCTTCCAGCCCAAACCTGAGGACAGATTCCCAGATTTGGAGTGCTGACATGAACAGGACCTGGAGCCTGCCTTTAAGAAACTCTTGGAACGTAGCTAATTTAATATGATAAAATCAGACACTTTGGAGTCAAGCCAATCTGGGTTTAAGTATTGGCTGTACAGTTTACAGCGAGGAGGGGTTGGACGTTGAGAGAAATTTCTAAGGCAAACTCAGCAGGTCTTGCTGATTAAGAGGCTCAAGTTAGCTGACATTACCTTAATCTCTCCAAGCCCCACTTTCTTTATCTATAAAGGGGATAAATACATTGCCTGGAAGGACTGTTGGAAAGATTATATTAGCTAATGTATATAAAGCCATTAGGTGCTTGAAAACAAAAGCTCTCAATAAATAGTTACTACAACAGCTTATTTACACAAGAAAGAATAGGCCAGATTAACTCTGCCATTGAAAGACAGCCATCAGGAAAGCCTTCACAGTCAAGGATGTGTAAGAAACAGCAATCTATGAAAGAGTGCACCATATTTGAGAGATGGTGAGCGACTGCTGTGGGCTGAAAGATGGAGGGTGTTTGGAGAGGTTGCAGAGCAGAATATATTGGCCATTGGAAGGCATTGGATTGAAAGCACGGTGTGACATAGGCAGATAAGCATTTTGAAAAGACCCCTCTGGCTGCATGAATAGGACAGTAGAGAGAAGGGAAAGAGCCAATAGCACAGAGACTAGGTAGGGTAGGGTACAGTAGGATAGGATGGGGTGGGATAGGAAAATAGATAAATGTTTAGGAGGAAGATGAGGATCCCTGCATTAGGGTCACTGAAATAGTAAGGCTGGATCTGAGCGATATTAAGGAGCTTGACTCAGTAGAACTTGCTAACTAAGAGGCCAAGGGGACTTGGGTCTTCCCTTTCCCCTCTGGTGTCTGAGCATTAGAATGGGCAGAATATGGGACATGTAGTGGTGGTAAATCCACTTGGGCTCAATGGACAGTACATGGGTGAGTAATAATTTGTATCATGCCGATGTGGTTATCAGAATATAAGAATGCCCAGAATATCATTGAACTTTGTGGAAATCATGCATGGACCTATGTGTAACCACATGAATGTGGTATGACCTCCAAATGCAAGTATATGAACCATACTGAGGGGCTGTGTAAAGCCAGTGTAGACTTTTGTGGAAAAGAATGTAGATTTAAGAGTGCCGGCTCCTTTCTCCTCCTCATCTTCTCCTTCCCCCTCTTCCTCTTCCACTTCTTCCTCCTCATGCTTTTCTTCCTGCTCCTCCTTTTTCTCACTTCTAGTCTTGCCTCTATGGTAGAGTGGCTGGCCTTTAGCAAGCTATTCACCCTTCGTGGGCCTGGGTTCTCCATATGCCCCCA